GTTAATCATTCAACTTAGAGAACGATGTTCACATCCGTCAATTTGACAGTAAGTTTTTGTGAGCTAATTTAGTGTGTTTCTCTACACTTAATATCATTAATTGTATTAAATTCACCATTCCAGCTCAAACTATTGGACAACCTCTTCCTCTTTGTACATACTATTATCTCTGGACATCTTCAGAGTTTATTGGCTCCCTTTCTTCCAAAACCTATCCCCTTGATCTATAGGGATTGATTTCAATCCCACAAAAACAATGGAACTAGCGGTCACAATGCAACGACTTGCCATGATATAGGTATAGGTTAAGAAGCATGGATATAGATACGTAATTTGGATGCGATACAATATGCATACGTCGAGACGATTTTTTTGAAAAAATTAGAATATGCAGATACGTGTTATAAAATTCAACAGAATTTCATTAATATAAAAAAAATAAAAAAAATTAATATAGAAGCATGATAATAAAAATAAAATAACATACTAAAGCACTCTATCTTAATCATTAATTGTGGAAACTTTATTTTTCTTCAACATCAATTTCTTTGTTATTATTAAAAATATGATTCTCCCACTCTGGCTCATCTAATGATAAATTAACAATCTCGAGTAGTTTAATTCTTTCAATAGTATTAAATGAGTCTCCAACAATGTCCTACCTTTTAAATTCTTCTTTTGAATAGAGATCTACTTTTCTTGATAAAGACACAAATTGCTATGAATAAAAACCAATTCTTCAACTTGTTGTGGAGTTATTTTATTCCTTCTCATAGAGTGTACAAAAGAGTGCATACTCCAATTTTTTTCAACACAAGATGAAGAAGAATGTTGCACAAAAAATTTCAAAGCAATGTTTTGTAGCAAATGTGCACATGAATCATGAAGTAGCCACCAAGTCCTTGAATCCATGTAATATCGATTAGTAATAGAATCAAATAATACGGTTTCATATGTATTGAAAGATTAAATAATATTACGCATTTCCAATAAAAAGTCTAGTTAATTTTAGAAATCTAATTGTGTATTTTCAATAAATATTATTGATATTCAATATAAAATAATTTAAAAAATACATATCGGATATATATCGAAAATCATAAAAAAACATAAAATAATAAATAAAAAAAAATGTATCGGAAACGCATCGGAAATTTAAAAAATATATAAAATAATTAAAAAAACAAGTATCTGGTACACATAGGAGGGTATTGGAGAGTATCGGAGCTTGGATGCGTATCATATACGAGTTCATATCAAGTTTACATGTATCAATGCTTATACCTTCTTAGGGTACAGGTCGTTCTTGGATACAAGATCATTGCATTTGCAATACAAAATCATCTTCCTTTTCCTTTCCAACAAGGAATAATAGCAAGTTCAATCCTACCTCAAGTTAAAACAAGCCTGTACTTCCACTCTTCGATGAGAAATCTTGTGCCGCTGGTCTGGTTGAAGATTATTTCCCTTATTCTGTTCATGGTGTTTCTGCCATTATCATGAAGTTGCAACCACCCTTTATTGTCAGCCAAAAGTGCCAAGTCTTCCAAAAGTTCTGCAGTTGGCCACTTCTTCAACAGAGTCACTCTTCTTCATAAATTCCAATAAAGGTTCTCCAAGAACTTATCTTTTAGGTATGTTCATTGTTCATTCTTCCTAAAAAGTAATTCTTAAGCTAGGAATATCAAGCTCTACCAACAGTTTTAAAAAGTCATTACTAGTTAGTTGTTCCAGTGGACTCTCCCTGATCAGTCCACTACCTCATCAGATCAGTAACTGCCTGCCCAGAACAGTGTGGTTTCATCAGAGCCACTGACAGTTTATGGAGGATATTTAATGCGAGGGTTGTGTTACTTTAATTAAGAATAAACTGAAGACTGTTGACGGTGCTAAAAATGTTGATATGTACTTGAGCAATCAAGTTGTAATAGTTCATGAGAGATCACAAATAAAGATCAATCTTTTCTGAAGCCTTAAAACAAATCAGGTTGAAAAGCCAGATTAATTGGACAAGCCATGACTTAAGATTCCTTGTTTCAGTAGCTGAATTTCAAGGTCCAACTATTGTTGGAGTAGTTCACAAAGCTCAAGAAAATATTTCTTGTTTTGCATCGACAATGCTGTCTATCATCCTTTTGTGCAATTGGTTACTACTTCACGGGAGACCCATGATCTTTCACCTCATCCATTGGCTTATGAACTTCATCAAATCAGTGGTCATTCTCCTTCTCCACAGATGTTGCCTGACCAAGCTGTGAGCCTTGATTTTCTTTCCATTTTCCTCTCGTCTCTAGCAGACTGTGACTTTATTTTTCAAATCATCGAGATCTATTCTTGTCTTGGGCTTTGTGTTCACTCGTACTCCTAACCTCTTGGAACCATTAGACTTAGCACACACAATATTCGTGCATTTTTAACCTTTTGCTACCAGGACTTCACTCTACCAACATATCCAACTAAGCCTCATACAACAATCTTTGGCTACTCACCACCAACAACAAATTTCTTGACCAATGGAATATCAACAAATACAATGGACTCTACAATTCAGTAGATCGCTTCCTGAAATTTAGACGGATCTTATTTTCAAGCTCTAAAGTTTAATTGTATATTAATGTATATCCAACCTCGAGTTGGTTTCTTTTTTACCACAATGAGTTTTTTGGGATGTGCCAAAATATCAAAACATATCCCATTAAATTATGGGCATTGATTCCAATCGCTTTAATAGTGCGATTTAGAGGTCAGAATCCCATGTACAATAGGATTGCTTCTTTGCCTTGTTCACCTGTGAAATTAAAGGTCGTTCTTGTACACAAGATCATCACGTGTGCAACGAGTCATCTCCATTCTCTTTCTAACACCTCCTTTCTCCAGCGATCAACTATTCCCCCTATAAAACTAATGCATCTATCCTCTCATAAATCACCTCTCCCTACACTGTAATTCTCCCCCTTCATAGTGATTGATTTTATTTTGTAAATTATCTATTTTTATTTCAATTATTAACAGGCGTGCTTCGACTGATTCAAATTTTGCGTGGTCAGTTAACAGGGAGAAATAAGAGTTATTACTAGGGGTGAACTCGTAATTAAAACGCAAAGATGAACGACAATAAACTTGACGCAATTACAATTCAAAAGAAGAGGATCGCATAAACCAATGAAAATGATAAATCGTAAACCATAATAACATATCAACAGAAATTTAACGAATTAACTAAAAATTACCGCTTGAAGAGACTGAGACGGATTGTTTTGATCGATGAGTTGCCTAGCCATTGTCAGCAAATTTCGAACAACATCGGTCTGGTCGGTATTTAACGGCACCGATGCGTTTGCCTCCATTTCCATCATATCGGCATCCATACCTGTCATCGCATTTCAGCTTTGATATTGAAAGCTCTTATTTTTATGGTCTCTATACATTAATCAGTAGGTTTTTTACTTCAGTTTTACAAATTGAGGAGTTCTGGGTAGAACCAGATACTTCTAGCAATTTCTCTTTGTTCTTTTGTAGAATTTTCTGAACTCTCTTTGTTCGTTTGTAGAATTTTCTGTCGAATAAGTTCAGACTCGATCCCTCAATGTTGATAAATAGAGCATATGAATCCAAAATTAATATTTTTGTCGTTCAAGACCTAAAACTTTCAATTTATGTGCAAGTTGATCCTTTCTAGATAGAAACTGTCACTTTTTATGTAAAACAATCACATTGTAGTGTGTGGTCAATTACAATAAATACATTAGATACTAACACATGCTTAAGGCCAGGTGATTTCTCCCATTATAGATCGACTCTATTTGTCGTGCTAGATTTTATATGTCCAAATTAACGAATTTGTTCTCAACTCATTAACATTCAATAATCTTATTTAAGTTCTGAATACTTAATGAACATAGAAAAAATAACCCAAATTACCGGTCTACTTTAACATGATTGGGATATGTGTCAGACATTTTGCGACGATGTGTAGACAATATTGAGATTAAGGCTCATGTTGCTAGACTTTATCATTATTGCACCAGGCCAGAGATGGAGCTACTAAAGGGATATCTAAAGTTCAAAAATATCCTCTACTTGGAAAATAAAATAAAAAGGTGGATTGAATTATATTAATTTGACAAATAAACGCGAATGCACATATAATTGAATGTGATGGTTAGTCACTGAACTTTCGCCCATGCTTCTAAGAGGTCACTGAACTTTCAAAATCACCTAAGTCATCACTGAATTTTGCAAAATGTTTTCAAGAGGTCACTGAACTTTGCAAAAGGTTTCCACGAGGTCACTGAANCAGCTATATACACAAGAGGTCACTGAACTTCCAAAATTCATTGAGTTGTCTTACCACGTCAGCTACCACGTGGAAATTTCGTCCAATTTATCAACGGTCGTTTGCTCAGTGACTTCTTGGATGATGAATTTTAAAGTTCAGTGACTAGTTACGTAATTTTAAAAGTTCAGTGACTAAATAGGCAATTCACTCCATTGCTTAGACACGAGCTCAATGTATGAGTCGCTCACGAAAAGCCAGTCGAAATTGATGTAGACGGCCATGTTAGATTAACTTTGAAACGTGTGTGGTAAGATTAATTTTTCTAACTATTGCATCACTTTATGCTTTTCAAAATGAGGTTGATGCATCATGCACGTATGAGCTGCATTTTACAAATTGTTCTTGAATTGTTTGTCCAAATCCTCATTCTCACTTCGATTTTTGCCTCTTTCACTCCTCTAAAATGTTTACTATGTGGGAAACTACGTACTGAAATTATATATAAGCTGCTCCTTCCAGTGAATGTATATTCGATCGCTAAGGTTAGGGACAATACCTTGGGTGCCCAAAGAGTATTGCGCATTCCACCACTGATCTTTGAAATGGCAACCACGGCATGCAATTCTTCTTCACATCAAGCACTCCAATCTTGATCAGGCTCGTACAAATTGGTCCAAACCAGCATCGAACACCATGCCTTCTTTCATGGACCCAAGTTCATATGGCAAACAGCGTCAGCCACTTAACAAGTTGTTTAGCAGCAAAATTTCTTTCAGAGTGGAAAAGAACTTGGGAATTACTATGTGGGATTGACCCGGAAAATCTGTTGTTGGCTAAGGTAAGATTAAGAACAATGGTACTGCCTATGCTGTCAGGTAGCCTGGTCATGAAATTGTTATTATTAATGAAGAGTGGCATCAAGGTCCTTGTTGAACAACTGCGAGGGTACTGAACAGGTGAAAAAATTGAAAAGGGTGTCCAAGATAGATAGGATATCCATGCTATCTAGTACACACTTATGAGGTAAAAATAAAGAAAAAATAAAAGTACACTACTGCTACAACGACAATTGGAAGGGCTCTGAAAACTGGTTGTTAGTTATGTCGAGCTCGTATAAATAGGGAAGTTTTGCAATGTTTGGAGAGATGATCCCCGTAAAAATTTGTTGGAATTGGCGTGGAAGAGGGCTATGTCAGAGATTTGATCGAGTAAACCATCGAGGGTTGGGGCGTTTAATTGGAATACAATGAAATCAATGGAGGCAAGAACAACAGATTTGTTGTATGTATGGCTTGTTAGAAATATTACTAGTTGCAATATAGTAAAATACAAAAATAAAACTTATTGACTGATCGAGTCTCATAACAGCACGATGTCCTAAAACAAAATTGTTCGTCGATAACTATTGCGACATATGTGGACAATCACATCTATGATACAACGATCGAATAAACCAATTATGCAACAATCACAAATGGTTTTCAGAACTTTCAAGTGTACTCCGGAAATTATATTTAAAAAAATAAAAGAAATTGAGTATAATATTTTAATGAATAGGAAGATACAATTTTGTAATTTTTTTCCTCTTCTAACCATTTTCTAATGCCTAGATGTGTGTTTATATAGGCAGAAAAATGATGTAACTGCCTCCATCATGATCCAGTATTATTTGCAATTTTTATGACTAGCGGTGATGTGTTATTAATACTGGACAGTTAAAAAATGTTATATTTTACTAACTAGTTGACTTAAAATTATGAATGTTTTGAGAAATCATGTGAAACATTTTTAGGAAGTAAAAAATACTGTGTAAAATAAAAAAAGTGACACAATGTCACTTTTTTATAAAAATTGTCACTTTTTTGCCTTTTTAAAAAAAGTGATACAAATTTAAAAAAAGTGATAAAACTCAAAAAAGTGACTAAAAAGGTGCAAAACTCAAAAAAGTGACAAACTCAAAAAAAAAAGTGACACACATACTAAAAAGTGACACAAACTCAAAAAAGTAACACACACATACTAAAAAGTGACACAAAATAAAAAAAAAAAAGTGACACAAAATAAAAAAAGAAGTGATACAAACATTAAAAAAAATAACAAATAACACAATTTTACCACATTTAACTTTAGGAAGATAGAAGACAAAAAAGCTTATCAAGTTTTGTCAATAAAAAAGCTTCCACCATTTGGACATTTCATCAAACACATGGTGGACATAATTGAAAGCATCATTGAATATCATAAACTCACAAAAAAGTGACACTCAAACAGTAATACAACTCAAAAAAGTGACACAAACTCAAAAAAAAGTGACAAAACTAAAAAAAAGTGACACGCATATACCAGAACGGTTCCATAATTATATTTGGACCCGAATGTTTCATTTATTTAATGGATACTTACAAAAATACCTTTAAAATTAGAAATATTTTGAAAAATCATATGAAATGTTTTTAGAAAGTAAAAAATATTGTGTGTAAAATGAAAATGTGACATAATGTCACTTTTTTATATAAAAATTGTCACTTTTTTTAAAAAAGTAACACAAACTCAAAAAGTGACAAAATTAAAAAAAAAAAAGTGACAAAATACTAATCAAAATCTATGTTATTCAAAAATAAAAAAAGTGACATAAACTCAAAAAAAGTGACATGATTCAAAAAAAGTGACACTCAAAAAAGTGACAAATACTTAAAAAAGTGACAAAACACTAATCAAAACCTATGTTTGTTATTCAAAAAAGTGATAGAAATTTTTAAAAAGTAACAAACAATTAAAAGTGAATTTTTTTTAGAAAAGTGGCAGAAAAAAGTGACACACTCAAAAAAGTTACAAACACACAAAAAAATTGATAAAATTGTCTATTTTTTAAAAGAAAGTGACACAATGTATCTTTTAAAAGTTTAGTGTCACAAGTGAAATAAAGATATTGCAGCAGTGGCACAAATTAAAAGTTATACAGATTAAAAAAGTGACGGACAATAAAAAAAGTGACAATTCAAAAAAAGTGACAAACTAAAAAAAGTGACGAAAATTTAAAAAAAAAGTGACACAAATTTAAAAAAAAGTGACAAACGCTCAAAAGTGACGAAATTCAAAAACAATGTTATTGTCTGCACTAAACTCATTGTTTTTCCAAAGACAATGAAATGTGAAGGAAGACACATTTTTGAAATTGTTACATTTTTTAGGTTTTTAATAATGTAATCGATCACTTGCATTATATGTACTTACATGTGCATAAAATTGATGGAAAATCAAGAAAAGAGCATTTCATCCTTGTGCAATAGACCCTCTCTTCTCTTCTCTTCTCAATAAAACTATAGAAAAACTAACATTACAATAAGCAATACCCCTCATGGAATAGGTTGGAGCTGTACAATCAAGAATTGGAGCTCCATATAATCTAGGGTGATCATTCATGGTGGGTGGACGGTACTCCATTTCTTCTTCCTCTTCATACACATAATAAAGTATCTCAAATATCTTTTCTCCTAACTGTTTCCCATAGAAATTCCAACCTGTTTACATACCTCACCTTCCAAAAGTGATGAACACTAAAAAAAAGTGACAATTTTTTTTTTAAAAAAATTGACGAATTCAAAAAAATGACACAAATTAGAAGAAGTTATACAGATTAAAAAAGTGACAGACAAAAAAAAAAAAAAAAGTGGCACACTCAAAAAGTAACAAAATTCAAAAAAAAAAAAAAATGACAAACTTAAAAAGTGACAAAATTCAAACAAAGCGACAAACTAAAAAAAGTGACGAAATTCGTGATTCTGTTATTTCTAATGCTAATTAAACCGCATCTCTATGTCCTTACACCCAGCCATTCCGATGAACGAATCCACTCTAAAGAGGCAAATGGCCCAAAGGACATTTAGCCGGGAGCATTAAGGAAGAAATTAGTTCTTGTACAACTCAATAATCCAATCATAATACTGTAATGATTCTTTTATAAATTTGAAATCAAGAAAATGTGAAAACCCCCAGTATTCAATGATAAATAAGTAATTTGATATTGCACAAAGTGAATTTTAAGCCATAAGTCTCTGAACCACTATTTGAAGTTTCGACCTCTTGTTTCTACTTTGGAAGTTACAGAAAAGAAACACAAGGTAAAAGAAAAGGAATTAACTAATTTTCATGAACAGGTAACATACATGAAAACTAGCATGAAGCTGCAGTGAGCAAATGAAGTGCTTAATGGTCAGTATCTCCCAGACTCCCTTGTCGAAACTTTTGGCTCTTTCCTTTTGTCTAAAATTCAATCCTAAAAATTTAATGGAAAATTCTCCCAACTGCAAAGCATAATATACACCAAAAGGCAGTCCTCCACATGAGTTCCTCTGAATCCTACTAGTATTTCATTCCACATTAAGATATGAACATGTCCCTAGAATGACTCGAATTCGCAGAACTAAATTAGCATTAGAAATAACAGAAACATTCTTAGGATTCAGGACAATTACCAAAACGAATGATTACATACTCCATGTTTAATCCTTCGAAATCCCTCCCCAATACATGATTATATCAACTTAATCTTCATCAGACTATTTTAGTTACTGCTCCCACTAATTGTTCAAAAAGTAAAGCAAGTTAATTGATTGACATCAGATTAGAGGGTTCTTAAGCTTCCACGCCAGCGCATTTCTTCGAGGAAGAGCAGATAAGCCAGATATTGCCATAGGGGTCCTTCACGTTGCCCACACGCCTGCCGCAGCACGAGTCATCACCCTTGGAGATCTCTCCTTCCGTAGTGGCGCCGGCGTTCACGGCCAGGCCAAGGAAGCTTCGACGTCCTCAATCTCAAGGCAGATCACACCTCCGATTACTGCAAACTTGACCGTAGCAAACGAGTCGTCAATGATATCAGATACAACAATAGCGGCGGAGCCAATCTTGAGTTCAGCGGAGAGAAGTGGAATCTCGTGATATGCCTTCCTCTTGGGGTGCAATGAAGATTGGATTTTAGGTTTAGAACGTATTAAGTACGTGTTGAATGGTTTAATTAGTTTGAAAAGGGTATTATTCACTTTTGTTTCTTACGGGCCGTACTGGGCCTAATTTGCCCTTAAAAAAATTAGTATTATAATCAAGAAAGTCCAAGAGCCCAAAGCCTCAATCAAAGACATTTTAATATAATGTGTGAGGTGTAACTAGAACCCCCGACCTTCACACAAATTCCACACTTTTCACCAATTGAGCACTTCATCTGGATTAATTATTTCTTTCACATATTATATTTATTGTATAAATATCTAACAATCCTCCACATGAAAGAAATAATATAAATATAAATACTATTATGAAGTACGGTAGAAATCACGCAGGTTTAGGTGTCTATCGACTTGAACCTTGACTTTGTATATTTTATCGAGTTTGCTAGCTGTAGAGTGAACTATGTCTTGAACTCCACAATTATGGTTGCAAATTGAGACAATAGAACACACACATGACTTCTAAAACAATCATTTAGTTCTCGCGGTTGTGTTCATTTCGGCCGTGAACTTTCCCGATTTCTTTAAGTGCTCTAGAGAATTAGCATCAATTCTNACCCCCACAGATCACTCCAATAACTTTGTTATCCCATTGAACCTTATCCATGGGATCTCCAATCGCAAGGTTGGGTTTCCATTATAGGTGATCTAATTTGTAATGGGCTGTAGCCCCATCCCCCTCGATGTTTTCTGAACTAGCTCTCTAGCTAATCCTTTTGTTAATGGGTCAGCAATATTATCACTTGACTTCACATAGTCAATAGCTACAACCCCATCCTTAAGCAGCTGATGCACAATATTGTACCTCCTACGAATATGTCCAGACTTTCCATTGTGGGATGAATTTCGAGCTCTTAAAATAGCTACTTAACTGTCACAATGGACATAGATGGCTGTTTTATTTTTTATTTAGATAAGAGGATATATTCATCATTTCACTTCAAGTTGGATGAAATTTGATAGAAATGATGATTTGCGCAATCAAATGTATAATTAAGGATGAAAATGCTAAAAAAATGAAAGATGTGGACTTTTCACAATAATAGTGAAAGGTAAGGACATTGTGTGCTAATTACTATTTTAATACTTTATTTATGACTCGTTTGCATTTTTTAAAAAAAATTGAGACTATAGTTGCAATTAGTTCTTTTTTCTGTTTTTAATTTAAATGGAATGATATATTCGTCATTTCACAGCTTTTAATTAAGGAAGTTGATGAAATGGACCTTTTGCGTAATGAAAGGTAGAAATAAATGTGAAAATGACAAAAAAGAAAGAAAGATAATGACGTTTTTCACAATAATAGTGAAAATGTAATGATGTTATGTGCTAATTAACGATTAAAAAATTTGAGAAAATTTATGAATTCACGTGTACTATTATTTCATTGGGAGATCATATGATCAAAATGAATCGGTCACAAATCTTCATCTTCTTGTACTCCTAGTTGATGTAGCCCATAACCCAAGAGCTCGTCGTCAACGTCTTGAAACCACCCATTATGCTTCGAGGTATTTCATAAATAGAACTGATATGGTCATATTTTCGGTCATCTTGGGAGTTTTCCCAAGGTGTCATCGGGTTCCCTCATCGAGCTTGATTGCCACATATGACAATTTCACGTCACCTCGAATTTTTACCTTTGTTTCTTTCTCTATCTTAAAAGACATATTGTAGCAGGACTCTACTTCCATCTTCAAGCTTATCCAACTCTAATAAGATTGGATCTTAACTAGCTTACAACTCCTATTCATATTGAAATACTCAAATCTTTTACATCTTTTAAATAGATAAGGCCGCAAGTATCATAATCCTATCAAGAGTGTGCTGCTTACTTCCATAAATACAAGTTCTAATTCATTATTCAAGTATGTTTTTTCATTCAAATTAAAGCCTTACATTTATATTTCCCCTTTCGCTAACTTAAGTATTGGTGGGGGAGACGAGCATACACCTCGACACCTTTGTTTTAGGTCCAGGAGATTTCGTTCGTGATCATCCTCAATCGTCAAGCTCGAGAATCAACCGGTGATGATTTTTTGTAACATCATTGACATTATCTGTGAGAATCGGTACATTAACCAAGTTGGGCTTAATTGTCGCTTATGACGATTCTATGTCACCTCAGATTATTACCTTTGCCCCCTTCTCTGTCTCAAAGGACATACTCTAATATGACTCTACTTTCATCTTCAAGCTTATCCAACTCCAATAAGATTAGATTCTAACTAACTTACAACTCCTACTTATATTGAAATACTCAAGTCTTTTACATATCTTAAATAGACAAGGCTTCAAGTATCCTAATCCTATCAAGAATGGGTTACTCACCTCTATAAATACAGGTTTTAATTTATTATTCAAGTATGTTTTTTCATTCAATTTAAAGCTTTACACTTATATTCGCCTGTTCGCTAACTTAAGCATTGAAGAGACGACGAGGCACACCTCGACACTTTTATTTCAGGTACTGAAGATTCCGTTCATAATCATTCTCAATCGCCAAGCTCGAGAATCAACTGGTGACAACTTTTGGTAACATCAGGAACCATCTGAGTTCTTGTAATTATTGGAACCAAACTCAATCTCGAACCATCGATTTTGGTTTGGGTTCAATTTTACTAATAACATTTTTCTTATATACATTTAATGAACATTTTCATTTACGCCCTTTCAATAAGTATACTTAAAATGCCACTACTCGACAATATTTGTATAAAGGAGAAAATTAGCTAAGAAATTAAAAAATTCAGCTACATGACTCAAAATAGTGGAGATTAAAAATCACAAAAAGAGGATAAAATTAAAACATAAAAACTAAATTACAATTTGAGAATAAATAATTTTTTTCTTAATAAATCTTATTCGATACATAAATGAGGTATGGTAGAGACTATAATTTAATTATTGATAATGCTTAAATTCTTCTACTTTTAAAATGAGCTAATATAAAAAAACTACTAATTACATACATAAATATTCCCCCGTTTGGCCCCCATTAAAATTATAGTTCAATTTTCTCATTTTTCTTATCAACCACACGTTTTCCAATAAAATAATATTATACATAAACCCAAAAATTTTCATTCTTTTTGATCACATATTTTTTTTTTAAAAATCACTATTCAAAAATGCATTTTCCCCAAATCCTCATTAGAGCCAAACAAGTGCTATATTGTATCAAGAAATTACAGTTCACGTATTGAACTCGCTTTGTTTGAGTAAAAAAGAAAAAAATATATTTCAAGAGAACCTTGAACTTGAGATAACCAAAAAGTCCATCACGTCCAAGCTATGAATATATAAAGTTCAATTAACACGCTATAAAAAAATTGAAAATCACTTAAATTTGCAAACAATGCAAGAACATAAAAAGTTCAAATTGCAAGAATGAACGCTTTATTCATAACTTACACTACATCGCTATCTTGAACTTTTTGATTCATAGAAAACCTACATTACAAATTAAGAGTAACATGTACTAACTTCTAAAATGCAACAATCTGATTAAAGACGAGAATAAAAAAGTAAGAGAAAGTCATGATTTCTTATGGTTAGAGTCTACAGTTTTAGAAAAATTTGATACCCACGGTTCTCGTAAAGGAACAAAAAACTAACACAAACACGATCGATTCTCGATTTTGGTTCCTAATTTATATTTTTTGGAATCAGATCGGAGTCTACGATTCTAGTTCGATTTCGATTAAAATGCCCAAGTCTACCCAAATCGATTAAAAACACATTTCATAGATGACTTTTGGGAAAGTAAGTTTATACCTGCCATAATGTCTCCAAAAGTCATCTATGAAATGTGTTTTNATTAGGTACAATAATTGAAATTATTTTGATTAGTTAGTTCATTTGAATGTTAAGGGGAAAAAAAATCATTTCATACCAAAGCATATTTTATTGGCTAAATTAGGCCCAATACCCTAATTAATTAAGTAATTTGATTAATACCCTAATAATTAATTAAACCATTTAACAACGTAATTAATACGGTATAAAATCCCCAAACCCCATTATATCTTTCATCTATAAATAGATGTGCAATTAAGATTGACATTTGGTTTATATGGTTTCTATTTCTTGGAGAATCAGATGGGATGATAAATAGAGGTACAATTAAGATTGACAAATCCAAAGCCAATATCTGGAAGTTCCCGTCAAAAGCGGGTATCTTCACTAACAGTTTTAAGAACAAGTGTGTAACTTTCATATGCTTTAATTAGCTTTTTGAGTGAATTTTTTTCGACTTACATTGCTTAATAATTCATGGCAATGTCTTAGGTTGTGCCAGATGATTCAGAGAATGGTCAATGAAGATTATTGCAATTGCAAACTAAAGTGGCAGCCATCTACACGATAAAGTTTTTACAGAAAGTTGTTGCAGCTCAATAGCCAATTACATAGTAATTATTTAATGAGGTTAGATTTGGCATAGGAAGTGTGTATGCAATTTCACCCAAAATTGCTGCTGCTTTCTTTTTCCTGGCTTAAAGTCTACTTTGAATTTGGTATGTCCACTCTTCTTGACAGAGCTCAAATTTGTTATACCTTTTTTTTAGTTTGTTAATAAATCAGTCTAATAAAAGTCTCTGGCTTGTGATCTGAGACTAGAGTTTTTGTAGTGATGCAATAATATCTTAGAATTCTAAATTAGATTTTTTTTTTGTCTATTTTCTTGTTACCTTTGAGTTATTCGAAGTATGTGAAAGAGGCTAAAAGGAAAAACACATAAATAAAAGACAATTTCTCAATTAAAGCATTCTTAAACGGAAATTGAAAAAAAAAAAAACTTTAGCTTGTTCTCCTACTGGGATCTTCATTAAGTGGAGGTCGATGAGTTAGCTTAGTTGGTGAATGAAGGTGAAGGTGAATGGACTTAAAAGATGTTTGACATTTTTATTGGTGTCTTGTTGGTGAGCTAACTAA